CTTGTTCTTGGATTCGTATTAGACCTCCTCTGTGAATTGGGCTTCAGCCACGCCTTTCTGCAAGTTGGGCTTCAGCTGCGGATTGGGCCTTCCTATGAAATTGCCRCGACTTCGGGCCCGGATTTGACTTCGATRYAGGCCGAATCTGCGAAAGCCCAAAACATGAAAGTTGTGGCTTTTACTCTTATATTTCCAATGGATCTTGAATCAGCCAATTCGGAGTTCGGATTCGCGAGTTAGGGCCAGATTACTGAATGATGTCAAAACTGTGAAAAATCATTCGATTTGTCTTTCTTTGCTCCTGATGCCTTCATTCATGCCCTGAACAGAAATATGAGTCCAATTATGTGCTAATTCAGTATAAAAGACAGAATAATTGGGGATAAAAATATGATAAATTCTACTCTCATAAAAAATAGCAATAAAAAAAATCCAAATTAATCAAGGTCAACAAGTTCTAATATTATTTTAGGATTAAATCCTCGGCAATGGCGCCAAAAATTTGATAGCTATAAATATAACCTTAACAAGTGCACTAGTTATCAAGTAGTATAAAATATTGTTCCCACGGGGATTTAACAAAATAAGTATTAGAACCACAGTCTTCTCAAATTATTTGGACAATCAAAATTCAGTTTTGAGCAAAAACTACTAAAAATAAAAATTAGAAAAAGAAAATAGAAGCAAGGGTGATCACTAACTGAATATGCAATAGATGAAATCGCAAGGGTTTTGGTCCACCTAACCAATATAATGAATATTAATGGATTTGATTAACCAGGATTATTTGTCATTCCCATAAGTTGAGGTCTTTCCAATTTTATTTAATATTCTCTCTCGAGATATACTAAAACYACRTCCATSAGGTAACCCTTYGATCTCTCGAGTAGAGCTCTCAAGATGGAAATGCATTAAGTCCAAGAAAAACCATTATGTTTAGATGAATCATGTAAATATATCTCTATATACCATTCAATTCACATTAGATATGAAATTAAAGATTTTTAATTAAAGATTTAATTCAAGAAATGATCTGAAATTAATTACTGATTAAAGAAAAACAAGAATCAGTCAAGGGGTTGTTCACACAAATCCATCCTGCAAACACAAACATCAGAACACAGTTTGCAGTTTCACAAATTGCAAATCGCAGATAGCGATTTTGATATTTGCAAAGAAGCCCAATTGGGTCCCACACCATATGGGTCCCAATTGGGTCCCAATTGGGTCCCACACCATATGGGTCCCACACCATACAAAGAAGCCCAATTGGGCAGCAGATTGGAAACTAGTTAAACACTGAACATCTAATGGGCCAAAAGCCCATTTCGAGCTGGGCTGATATGATCACCCATCTATGGGGCAAATCTGAGATTAATGTTAGTAAAAAGGATTGGGCTTTTAACATTATCCACTCCAGGAGACCAAATTCAAATTAGATTTGAATCTGGTAACCTCCTGATAAGATCAGGAGTAAACTTAACATAATCTGCAGATAGGATTAAGATAATCCCCTATCCAAATACAGATTTGGATTAGGATAACTCCTAATTAGAAGGTTTCTTAATCAAGAAGAAAGGAGAAAAACAAAAACAAAGAGAAAAGACATCAGAATTTGAACTAGGGTTTTGGTGAAAAGAAAACTCCCTGTGAATTGAGATTAGATCTCATTCATACTCTAGAGAGAAAAAAAAGCAGTTTAGCCATCTTCGTCCCTGGAGTTCTCCTCCTGCCGCCGCCATTCACTATTGCAAGACTCGATCTTTGCAACAATAGGAAGTCAAGAAATCAGTTCTTGACATCAGTCTTGCAAGAAAGACTGAAGAAGATTCGGTGTTTAGAGTTTCTAGAGGATTCTCGCGAAGGGTCCAGTGTGTAG